GGCTTCTCCTACTTAACTGTATTCATTCTTCAGATATTGTCTCACACTTAAACCTTCCTTAAGTTTCACAGTTAAAAGCTTTTACAGCACTGTGGATCTTTACAGCACTTAACTGCAGTATATTGTGTGTATGATTTGTGAATGACTGTGACTATAAGCTCCACCATTATATCTCGGGGCCTTAAAAGTACTCACTCAATTAGAATTTCCTGGAAATTAATAAGTTTTGAAATGGTTTTGTTTACTGTTAAGAAGGAAGTCTCCTAAGTCCCTAACTGTGTGTCAGGGCACAGAAAATGTTATCTTATGATGGTTTCATTTTGACATGAAGGTACTCATTGCCTTCTCTTGAATCCTTGGATGGCTGGAGCAGAACAGTTAAAATGATCTTAAGCGTACAAGAGTAAGGCCACAAACCTGGAATTAACTGTCATCCAAACAAGTTTTGGGCCTCTATTTATTTTCACTTAATCTTCCTTAAGACCCACAGTATGAATGTAAAAGGTAGTTCAAAGAGCCTAAAGATGGTGGCAATAAAACAAAGTAAACCTGTCTGGTACATTCAGAGACTATATCCATCAGCTCAAAGTGGAACTTAGCACATGATAGACATCCAATAACTATCTGTTGAATGAACTGATGATTTAATGCACTGAGCTACCCAATTTCACATAGTAATTATTCACAAACTCCACTTTTGTGTAATTTTTGTTTTATTGGCCTGTTATCCCTGGGCCTTGTAGAGTACTTGTTCATTTAGTATTTCCTGAATGAATAAATGGATGAATGAAAAAATTAAAAATGATATGCTATTACATAGAGGATTTTTCCTCAAGTTTTATTTTTAAACATTTATGTTGTTATTTTTAAATTCATCAGCAGATATTAACTCAAATTTCTGGCTCAATCATCCCTAATTCTAACTCTGTTCATGAAGTCTGCTAATGTCTCATCTACCAGGTTTCAAGCTCACTGAGAAGGCCACCATTTTCAGTTTCACCTCCCTACCCTGCATAACATGATACTCTGCATTAGTGTGTTTTTAGGAAACATGTGCCAGATAAATAGAGAAATAGGAATTGGTACTTTCCTATTAGTAATAGCATAAAAAGTTCTTTTTGGAGTACCTTTGTTTTATCACGTGTATTCTTGTTTATCATATACAAAAGCAAGGATTTGATTATATATTAACTAATCAAATGGAACAATATTATTGGAATCTCTAAAAAAAAATCTATCAACATTTATGACACAAAATAAACAGTTTTAGGTACAAACTCTGACTATGGCTTTTTATCAAGCACCATAAACAGGTTAGAGTAAAGAACATTAAAATTACACTAAGATTCAGATACTTAGATAGGCTTAATATATCTGGCTTTATGAAATCAATATAATTAATGTCCAGTAAAAAGTACAACTCTTTTTGCTTGAATTAGCTAAAACAACAGAGAGATATTCTCTTCTGGAGTAGTGAAAAAACTGAAAGTGTCTGCATTTATGTTGATCAGTCATAATGTTCACTGCGTGCAGTTTTACACCATGTTAAAAAAAAATCTGTGAGATGCACATAGAAACAAAGCTTCAAAATAACTGGCAAACTAGACTCTCGCTGACAGAGGCAATGTTGCTAAAAATAACTGTGACCAATGGATACCTCAAACCTAAATATATAAATTTTAAAACACTTTATTACTATTTAAATTTCACAAATAAATCCCAATAAATAGGAACCAAAAAAAATCTTAAATTAACTTTTCCAATTACACTGATATTTCTTGCAGAGTACATTTGTAGGTTTTTTCAAATCAAGTCATCAAACAACAGTAAAAATGCTTAACTATCTGCATAGCACTTTACGTGTTACAAATAATGTATTCACTGCTCTGTCTGATTCTCACAATCACTGTATTGGCCATTACCCTCATTACTTCCCAAACAACAGAGCTGGTAAAGTGCAGATCTGGGACTAAAACCTCATTTCCATTGATTCACTATTTAACATTTTTTCCATTCTCTAAAATCCCATATTTCTTTATATCTTCCTTTCTTAGGACACCTGTCCCCTCATTTATGTACAGTTTTTATAATCTACTACTGGATTATAAACTCTCTCATTGGAATATAATAGGCAATCATTAAATATCTGGTAATAAATTCCCCCATTTATTGACCCCTTCCAGGCAACAGGTATATGAGAAATGAAATGGGATAATTTTAGCTCATCTAAGATTCATCTCCACAAAAAGAAAAAGAACTAAAAATTCTCCAAACATGCAATATCACCTTAAAACTCTTATTTTCAACTGATTGAAGAACTCACCATTATATAGTTAGGGCAAACTAAATAAAATTAAGCAGTGTAATACCTGAAGCACTTACAGCTCTCTTCTTTACTCGAGATCATTGCAAAATTTCAATGACAGAGGAAGCTGAATAAAATCTTTAAATGTGACCTTTTAACAATGTCTAATTTTTAAAATATATTATGCTGTTCACTTTAGTCACTTAAAACAAAATGGCAATATTAAAGATAAGTGATAATTTGCAAGTGAATCCTTTCCTTTTTGTATCTAAAAATACCAATTTAAATTCCTATGGTTACATTTTAAACTACAAGAGGTAATAAGTGAAATATTTCAGTCTAATATATGACGTATATCAAAATAGTAACTTTTAGAGCTTAGAAGTAGAAGGAAACACTCATGTAAATTGTAGTTACTTCACACCTTACCTACGATCTTTCTACTATTCTCATACCATTTTATAAATGTTGCCAACATAGTCACAGGTTGTAATAAGATCATCTACATCCATAACTTAAAGGCACATACAAATTATAAAAGAGTTTGCCAGGGAAATATGGAATGACATACTATTAGAAACAGTAGCTTGGATGTATGAGAGTAGGCAACCATAATTATCAAGTTGAGGTCTGAATACGATGCAAAATTAACAAACAGTATAAAAATTATAATATATACTTTAAAGGACTTATTCTCCTTAACCTAACTGAATGGTATCTATTTTCACTTAAATATAACTCCTAGATGTGATTATACTACATGCCACTTTTAAATGGTTACTTTTATGATACGTGAATCTCATCTCAGAATTATATCTACATAATAGATAGATAATACAATATGTAATACATATTATCATTAGATGAACTTATATGTATGTGAACTATGTATGAACTTGAACATATATGTTCCTAAAACCCTATGAAGTTCATCTAATGATAATGGTTCAATCTTCTTGTAATGTAATTAGTATCAGTATAGTGCCTGGAAATAAGCTTCAATCCTATAGACAGCCAACTTGAAAATGCATTCCATTTGAAATGATGGGTTAAAAAATGATAAAAAGAGGCCTCAATTCCTTCATATGCCAAAAATATTAAAAATTTCTCAGTGGGTAAAGTTAAAATTTTGAGATCACTCATCTCTTCTTGATGAAGAATGTAACAGATAATAATAAGTAGTTTGGCAATACTTAAATAAATAAATAAAAATGATAAATAAATCAGTATTAGAACAAGCAATGTAAATAAATCATTTTTAAAAATTGTTTCTCAATTTCTATGTATTGTTCATTAATGCTAACAAATAATAGCTCATACAAAAAGGGGGAATAAACCTTAACCCTCAATGTATCATAAAACCAATTCAACCATCACTTTCTGATTTATTAAAAAATGTTATTATTACTATTTAATAGAATATTTTAAAAATCTCTCATGGTAACATTTTTGAATGCAATTTCAAGGGCCAAGTTCAAGAGCATAAAATTCATAATTAAGTTTCTCCAGAAAAATTTATGATAATCACATTATTTCTTTTTATTTTTAATTTAAAGGAGATTTAATGTTCAAATTTAACTTAAAATATTTTAAATATTTATGCATTTAAATTTAATGTAAATTTGTAATGATTATTTTTAACTTACATTTTAAAATATGTATTTCCTTAAAAAGATTAACATTTTAATGAATTCTGGTGCACTGTATCTAAGGAACTCAGAAAAAAAATTAAGTGCTAAACTTTGTGTTACATTCATTTATCACAAACTGTTCATTACTGTATTACAATTCTACCACAATGAACTACATCAAAATATGCATATAAACTAAATTGGAAACGTACATTAACAAATTGTATGATAAAGTGTCTCCTTTGTCCATCAGAAAATACAGAAAGGACATATTCACCAGGTTTCCCATGACTCTCTCGCACCAAGAAGTCTCCTTGTTGTTTTAACAGATCTTGCGCTTCTATTCTGGGAATTGCACCATGGTACCAGTCCTGTTCTGCCAGAGGCTTCTCAATTATGGGGATCGAATCACAGAACTTGAGCAAATATTGAAAAAAAAAACTAAATTAGAAAAAATAGCAATTCTTTTCCGGTAAAACTCATAGCAATTATAAACACTTCTTACATATGTTCCTCCCTTTAACTGATTAATTAGAAGTTATATGATGAATCTGAAATTTTCCTAACTTTTAAAGAACATGCATCCTGGCACACTAGCGCTGAAGTTTAGCACAAATACATATCCTTCAATACTTCAAGGTTATTGTTTCTTTTTTTCTGTCTATCATACATAGGTACAACACAATATTAGCACGTAGAGTTAGCATTTACAGTCTTACCATATCATAAAATAAATCCATATATTTCAATTTTTTCAATCAGAGAATTACGATGAAAAGGGAGCATTATCAGAGAAATTTATCACAAAGCAACTTCATTTTTATTTAAATTAAAAGTTGAGTTATTTCTTTTTATGAAAGTAACTCTTAATCACATAGACGGTGGGCTTTCCAAGTCATAGGTCCCAGGGGCACTATCTAAGGCTTCATTTCATGTTGCCTTATTGCTGTGAACTCCCATTCTTAAACTGATTCCTCTGATTTCCTTAACCATTACCTCTGCCACACGGCTGGTCCTGATCCTGTACGGCAATGGCACATAAAGCTTTAGGTAAAACAGCGTCACTGAAAACCACCACACGCAATTACAAACATAAGGCAAAAACAAGGGAGGAGTGTAAGTCATGAGTGCAGCAAGAAAAGCAAATCGCCAAATGCTGATAACAAATAAGAGAGGTAACAGCTGGCTATATCTCCTTGAGATGTTTCTAATTAATGATAGATGAAATCACACATTTTCTGGTTACAAGTAAAAAGCTATTTGTTTATTGTTATCATCCACAGAAATTAAACTGCCCCAGATGGTAAGAGTAGTTTATGGAGAAGGTACAGTAATATGCACTCACTCTTAACGTTCTCAAAATATAATATGCACAATACCTGGTGAGAAAGTAATTTACAAACTGGAAAAATCAGAATTAAGAATAAATGAAAGGCAAATATTTACACACAAAGTTTTTCAGGATAACATTATGAACTCTATACAGGGAAAAATACGGTATTTTTCTGGTAAGTGAAAACTAGCTTTGAGGAGGTTTCAAAAACCCATCCTACTGATTTAAAAAAAGAACCTTGAGAAATCCCAAATAGACTCCAAAGTCCACTGTTTGGTTTCTACTTCTACCACTTGGATAATCTTTAATTCTTTAAATATATACATGGTGTTATTGTACATGGAAACTTTGTAAGTTAAATCAGCCTTTTTTCTTTCAGTACTAATTATAAGTATGGTATTTCCCCAAAAATTAAACTGTGTTCCCAAAAATTGGTTTCAAAAGTGAATTATATAATAGAACCAGCCACAACTACAAGAGGTAAAAAAGTAATACTTTTAAAAACAAATTACATAATCCACACAAAATTAACTTCTGTATATTGATACCAATAGTTTATAATTATTAAAGTAGATAGCCAAAATTACTAAATATTTCTTTTCCAAAATTGTCACAGTGCATTTCAATACAGTAAATACTAAAAATTTTACTATAATAGAGATATTTCCCAAGTTTTGCCAATAGCAAAGTGTTACACTGATATTTTTCCACAGGGGGAAAATCAATAAAATAAGAAATTCAATGTCACCTCTGTGCAAAGAACTTGTTTTTATCATTATCTCTCAGAAAAGGTCTACATAATAGAAAATCATCATAAACAAGGAAGTTCATGTGCTTGATTTCTTGTCCTATTCAACCTATCCTCCCAAATTTTGTTTCATTTAGAATTGAGAGAATGCAGAGCCTAGAGAATTCATTAAGTCAAAAGGGCATCTGAAATACAAGAGCTCAGCTAACACTGAGAAATTACTTTAAGGATCTGAAGGTGAGGAATACTTTTGGGAAAAAAATCATCCTGAAACATCTAAGTTTATTTGTTTCTTTGTTTATTAAAAAAAAAAGAAGACGAATTGAATAGGAAGGAACTTATAATGCCATTTCATAGGGATTATGCTCCAGTTCTTTGGGTATATTGGCTTCTTTTGAGTAGGAAGGGAAGCTCAGGGATCTTTTGTTCCCCAGCCCCTAGACAATACTGTTAGGAAGTGTAGGCTGAACTTACTGTGGGTGTGTGTGTGTGTGTATGTGTGTGCACACACACACACAGGGAAAGGATGTACATTTCTCCTATATGGTCTACCAGGTCCTTCAGGGACTTCCCTGGAAATGTCGGAAGGAATGTTTTTATTAATATGATTTCAATTAAAGTCCAACACAATTTTTCAAGCTTGATAGTAAAAGAATGTAGGATGTATCAGCAACAAAATCCAGCATCCCAAAAGCCTTCATAACGACATCAAAAATGAAATAAAGTTTTTTAATTTAAATATCACATCTTTCTAAGCCTCAGTGGGGAAAGATTTTTCCTTGTCAGTAAGTTATCTAAAATGTTTGCCAAAGATATGGGAAAGGGGAAGTCTCCTTTTTTAATGTACAGTAATCCAACAGTTACTAAGTTATACATAATAAGGCAAGCTTTCCTGATTGACTAGGCTAGCTGTTTAATTATTTTCCCTGGGCCTTGTTCTTAAGGAATATTCCAGCAAAACATACTGGGATAGTGAAATTAAAAGATTGGTTTAAATGAAGAGACACTGAGGAGTCAGTACTAGAAAATGGAAATACTTTTTTTCTTGACTTAAAAATAAGAAGCTATTTTTTTCTTACTTAGTTCAGGCTAATTCTTGAATTAATTCATAAGTATATAATGAAGATTTGTATGCTTTTACCTCAAACATTTGAACACAAGATGAGCTCCTTTTTGAGAGGCAATGCAGAAGTTTAAAAAAAAAATCAAACTCTGGATTTTATTCAAATTAAGCACCCAAATAAGAAACCATTAAAAAATAAAATAAAACAGCATTGAAAAATATACAAGGAAACCTCTCAAATGAGCTTGAACAATCTAAATAAAACTTTAACACAATCATAAAAATTTTTATCAAGTTTAGTTATTAGTTTAATAATCTAAGTGCTGAATTATTTCAAATCTAGTATAATAATATACTACTAGGGTGACTACAAGTTACCTACAGGATTTTAAACATTGCTCAAAAATTCCATAAAGACCTCTTTAATTTTAAAGCTATATATCACTGGGAAATTTTAGGAGACAATTAAGAATCAAATGTCATACAATCAGAAATAAGAGAATCACCAAACACTTGCAAAAGGTGGGAAATTTTGGTGTATTGAATAGAAATCTGCCTGACGGTAGTAAAAGTTATTTTCAGTGAAAGGGAAATGTAGCCATAGGTAGGGAATGTATTTTATATCATTTAGAGTTTGATAGTTGAACAAATGCTTAACATAAAATGAAAGCGTGAATAATAATGTTCTTCCTGTTACTTTTTTCCCCAAATTTCTAAACAATTATGTTTTGAATTTATTGAATAAGTTAATTCTGAAAATAATAAAAAATAAAGAATATTCTGGATATTTGACCTTCACAATCATTTTCCTTTAAGCTAGACAAACAGGATATAAATAAATTAGAGCAGTAGTTCTGTCTTTAACAGGCACTACGGCCTATCTGTAAATCTGCAAATTCTAATTTTTCAGCAGTAAAGTAGAATTCACTATTTTTTTCATGCATTGATATCTTATTTTCATGATAAAGATACTTCACCTAATGTTCAATTTCCACTATGCAACTAGCAACAAAAGTCTTATTCACAAATGTCTTAATTAATAATTGTTTATACTTTCTGAGAATTTGACTTAGCTCGGTCTTTAGCTAGTAATATAACTGTGGTCTATCAAAACGACTAGGCATAATTACATACTAATCAGAGATTCTCATTCTTACACAATTCTTCCCAAAACTTTATTTAAAAAAATAGACAGGTAGGCCAAACTCGAATATTACCTTACTTCTACAATTTCTCATTTCTTTGATTGCCTTTTTATGCACCTTATTGGATCTCTAATAGGAGACACTATCTCAAGCAAAATATTTTTTCTTTAAAGTCATTCATTTTTGGTCTAACACGAGTGCTTCCTCCAACCCTTCTGATTTCCCCTGACTTTGCTGGTTTTTTAACCCTGCTTCTTTAATTCTCTTACTCATCTTCTCTTTATTAGTAATCATTCTTTGTTCTTTATTCTCTTTATCCATTTAATTTTTCTAATTGTGCTTGTGACTTTCACTCATCCTCTCTCATCTGATCATTTCACTGTGGTTTTTTTTCAGTTTTATTTTTTCAGTATCAAATATCCTGTCCTTAAGCTCATATAATATTACATATAAAATGTGACACAGTATCAATAAAAACATGTTTTAGTCCATTAATGGTACTCAGTGCTAATTTAATATTACACATCTCAACTAAAACTATTACCAGATTATTCCAGTGAGTCAGTATGAAATCATAGCTCAGTAAATTTAAACATTTCTCTTCAAGTTAGGATCGCTTGTCTAGAATGTAGTATCACTCTGACATGATTTGGGTCATTTGTTTTAATTAAGCATTTGAGCAAACATATAAAATAGATTTACTCCCTATAAAGTGAAATTAAAGCAAATAAATCCTGATAGGCTCTTCTTGAAAATTACGTATAATAGTACTAGTGATTCAAAACCTGCAGTTCTGAGAATAACATTTAGTTTTCCTAAACATGACTGACTATATTGGAGAATTTAGTGTATTTATGGCAGTGATACTATGCAAGAAATTTAATTTTCATTTTCCCTTGTTTCTCATTTTTCTACATCTTAGTGCCTGGGCAAAAATAAATAAGTAAGTAAAACAAAGAATAAAATAAATAAAGACCTTAAGAACAAAAGAAGACAACTGAGGTTTAAAATATATACTATTAAAGCTTAATTTAACAACATGCCTTGTTTCAGGAAGAAACAAGGTTGCTTTGTAAGACTTGAAGGAGAACAGTAAAAAAATATAAGCAGTTTATTATATTATGAAT